TTTAAAAACTCATCATAATTTAATACATGCCTCTTGGCGGTTAAAAATGATCATTAGACAGATGCACATCAAATTTTCAGATATTATATAGAGATTTTAATATTAGATACAATTTCGGTTCACATTTTTATGGATTCCATAACATTCTAAGGCTCCATTTTAATAAAAAATAATGTGATTTTGTCTACAATGAAGTGTCTGAATGTTATTTTTTTAAAACTTCCTGTTTTCTATATAGAATATCGTGTTATTTAACACATATTTTCTCGTTGTTAATTAACCTAGTGTTGTGGTATTTAAATAGTTACCTATCAATCAGTTAGAAACATCTGTGAGGTAGCCCTGGTTCACCTAAAGTTCACTAATTTTTTTTCCTAATTTTAATATCCAATATATATTTATATTTCCATAACTTAATTCCAATAAATTCTTCCCGTCCCATGTTTCAAATGCCAAAGGAGTCCGCCGTAAAAGTAGCATGAGGCCCGATCTTCGAGCACAATGGGGCACATTGGAGGCTCTCTCGGCGCTCTCCTAATGTCCCCGGGAATATAATGAATTGTTTGTGTGATTTGTCTGATATGTCGGATACCGACCGTTTTCACGCATGCATGGAGCTCTAGATGAACCACATTTCTCTTACAAAATCTGTCATGTTGCAGTTATCATTATAGAAGACAGTAGAGAAATGAAATATGATACGTTGTAAATAATAAAAATACATTTTTTATTATTTCTAAAAATTTCATATTTACACTACATATTGATAGTCGAAGAGATTCCTTTACCAAGGTCCTTCACCCATTTTATTTACCCGAACAGTATCAAATACTACAAATGTATATAGCAGTCGAGTAATCTAACACTGTCCGTTTGATGTAATGGCAAAAGGACCTGGTGCTATCACTCCAGGACACTGTGAATAAATATTCCCGCAGGTGTTTTCAATCCGAAGATCTCTATAAAAATCGAGGAGGATAACCGAGATGGGAAGCAATATCTCTTTGCCCTGTAAAAGGACGAGATAAAGGATAGTTAAATGAAAAAAAACTTATCTAATGCATTGTTAAGGAATTAAAAAAATTATATGTGAAATCAACGTTATCTAGAATTGGTATAAAATTTTAAGTTTCCCGAAGTCATTGGTTGAGCCAGAAAATCCGATTTACTAATGTTTTGTTTTTGCGGTGTTCCAATCATTCTGAATAGTTTGACACCAAAATTGTAAAAAGCATGTGTTTCAAGCCAAGATTTTTATTTTTTGCAATTGTCTCAAAAATTGCTGTTTAAATTTTAGAATTTTAAACACCATTCGATGAACTCGATATGGTATTGATTTGTTTTGTGAAATGATCGTCTGATCCGTTTCTTCAAGATAAGCATTAAGTTGAAATATTTTCCATCTACGTTTGCGCTAAAAATTCTGACGAATTTTTGAAAATCCAAATTCGAATTTCGTTTATATTTCTTATGGTTATTAATTTTATTATTCAAAGTTTAACAACTACTGTTGGTTCAAAAGTTATGTTATATTTTTTCGACAATTTTAAGGTTGGGCTCAATAATTGAGACTAAAAACGATGACGTTACACCAATTAATATTGTCTAGAGACCCAAGTAAACAATGGTTTACATATGAAAGAGTTCCACGGTCTATTGACTTGCAATCATAAAATAACAATATAAACGGCATGATTAATATACTTTATTATATCCGACGAAAAATATCGGTAGAGACAGCTGAAATGAATAATGCAAATTATTAAAAGTCATATACTTCAATAGAAATAATGAGATTTTTCTCTAGACTACAGTAGCATTATTATAATTCACTTGAACTTATAGGTAGATCAAGGACTTTGAAGATGTAAAAAACTGGCGCGATAAAACTTTATAATCCAGAACTAATACTTCTACACCAAGGATTCGCACTTGGGAAACTTATCAAATCGTTGGATTTTTTCCCAGACTTATATAAGTGTAAAAAGTGCATTTACGTAAATCATTATTCATAGAGTTTCATCAAATGGCTTTTCAATTTTTAAATCGGTTCAGTCGTTTATAAGAAAACTACTACCAAAAGTCAAGTTTTAACTCGCACACACCTTAACACACTTTTTCAAGATTGACTTGAAAAAATAGAAATTTTCAAATTGGTTTTTCTGGCGAAAACACAATCTTCTCTTTCTGATGTTATATATCAAAACGTCCACAATTTAAATAATTATTAATAATTTTATCTATCATGGTACTTGATTGCTGATAATTATTTCTCAGCACTACCTGCTGAAAAACGCAAAAAAATATGGTAACATTTATTACTATAATTAAGTATGCAAATTCAATTTCTCAAATAGTTTTTCTGTAGTTGACACGTCCAAGTTTCAATTAATCATTATGTAATTTGGATTAAAATTTAACTTACTTCTTGTTAGTATTAATTGGTTACACCATACATCCAGCTATTAGCGCCATTTTCAATGTTCTCATTCATGAATACTGATTAGTTTTTATGTAATCGAACAAGATTGGTAATTGATCGGGTTCTGTTACTTCTAAGATTTATATTCATTCATTATTTTCTATCCGAGAAGGTTTTTTCTACCGGTTTATCTTGTATTCTCACGGTCGGCTTTTTTATTAATTATTTTTTTCGTTTTTCTAACAACGTAATCAGATAAATTTTAAAATAGATTATGTCGTTTTGTTTTGGCTCAAGAGTATAAAGTGATCTAAATATAAATGAAATGTTTTGGTGTCACAGCAAGAACTAGAACTTCCGTTCTATATCAATACTGTTGCGTATTATAACATTTGGTTTTTTCAAGAAATTTATTATTTTAATGGGACATGTGTCCTTCAAACTGGACCTACATATGTAGGATTAGAAAATGACATAATTTTAAAAGACGGTGAAATACTGCAGATGTGTTTAAAAATGATCTTGTGAAATTTGATTGATATTAAACATTTTTCACAAATTTTTAAGTCAATTTTTTTAATAAATTATTATTGAAATTTAATTAAAATGTGTTATTTGTGATTGTAATGAATATCACTAATATTAAAAACAGAATAGATTTTTATTTTTCATGTTTTTAATATTGGGATAAGCAAGATGCAAGGATTTTTTTTACTAGTACTTACTTTTTTTTACATATATATACTTTTACAACACTGTTAGATATTTTAGTTTTAGACTTAATTATAATTCCATTGAATTTGAATTGAATGAATGAATTGAATAAAGTCTAAGACTAACTCAAAAATATGGATATTATAGATGGATAGAGAGCTTTTCCATAAATTATTCTTTATTCAATTGCATAGTTGAGCTTGCAAAGCTTTTATTAATATTTTAATTAAATTTGGTTTCGCTAATTTAATTGAAAATCAATATTTTAACAATTCAATGAAGATTTTATTAGATATCGATATTTTTGATACACTTGGTTTAAATTGGAGCTGATTCGCTCCAATAAATGTTAAGCCCTAGTATTAGACTCTATTAATATTTATATCTAAATTTATTTATAAAGGGTAATAAAAAGTTATGTAAAATTTGCTAAATTTTACTTAATAGCTCTATTAAAACCTCATAAAGTACGTAAAATCAAATCATATAGTTTTTAGTGAACCCAGACGTCCAATCACTGGATTGGCATTCGATTTAGACATTCTAAGTACTACCTCAAATTTTTGGTTGTTCCATGTAGAATTGGTGCAGATATTTAAAAAAATATAAAAAAATAAAAGCAAAAAGGAAACATTGTTAATTTAAACGCTCTATTTTAATCGAATAATATTTATATTATACACATTCCTTAAAACTACTTCAGCAATTAGCTTTATTTATCTTTACCGTATGGGCTATGGCCTATCACCATATAAGTTTTCTCAAATAAATCTAAAGTTCGCCCAAATAAATCTTTCATAAATCTCCATCCAGCATTAAGAATAGGTCTCCTGTCACAATACAAAAGTTTAGTTCAGCAAAATCATACATTTCTCATATATCTCCTCCAAGACCTGATGGCCCGCGGACCTCTCGCGATTTCTTTGTCAAGCGCTTATTATTATTCATTCCCATATAGTATACCTTGCCGTGTTTTGCAATCTTGGAACAGAATCTCTGACCCAAGCAGAATTTTTGACCCTCTACGGGTTATTAGATTCCGATGCTGATCATGACGAATCTGAACACTGCACGGTATGAGGTTCTGCTTTGTCATTAAAAGTAATGCAAGGTATTATCGGTCATCTTTACGGTTAATCTTAAATATTATCTTTTGGTTTGAAGATTTAGGTCGATATTACTGGAAAAATTCGTTTGAGAAATGGAAGTAGGAAAATTTTTGATGCTGGTGCATCGCCTTGATTAACTTGTCTTGAAATCATGGTTGATGTATGACTAGTTAGTGGGTCAAAGTGATGCCTTGATTAATTTTTGTAATTTAATTCAGAATCATCTTAAACTTATGATATAAACTTGTTTGTAATCGTAGATGATGTATGATTATATTATATTATTGGTTCAAAGAAATGACTCGAATTTGAATAAAAAAAAGAATTTTTGTAATATTTAATGTTTTCTTATTAAGATACTTGAATTTGCATTGCTTAATATTTATAACTAATGCATATGTAAATTGATATATTTTATGATCATAAACATTTATGCTGTACAGTAGTAAATTTGTAATTTTACATATTTGAAAGGATTATTTAAAATAATTTATTACATTTAATGCATGAATTCAATGTTATAATATAATATTTGTCTTGGTAAATTATCTGAAAATCATTATAAGAGTTCTTGTTTAAATTTTACATCCCATTTTCCATATTATTTATATAACTAACTAATAATTTTTAAAATATTGTTACTTTATCTCACGATTAAAAAAGATAAACAGTTACTTCTACTTATTATTAGTTTATATTATATTGTTTATTATTAGAATAAAATTATTAACTAATTGTTTTTTTTTCTATTACAGGTAAGTGACTCATACTTGACTTCTACATTTTGTTCTGGTGTTGTCAGACGGAAAAGTTTGGTAAATACATAATTTTATTAAATATTCAATATTACATTATATTATGACTTTTTGTATATTATAATTATAAATTACCATGTGGTTTTATGAACAAATAAAATCGAATTGATGTTTTCTTATAAATCTTGAAAGAACCCTGTTTTAAGATATTATTTTGGTCATTTGGGGTTCGTATTGCTGTGGTATCAGCCTAGTTTTGTAACCAGCTTCTTGGATAATCTGATATCAAGCAGTAGTAATATACATTTTCACTTGAAAATATATAAAAATAGTTTCTAACTAAAAATAGGTCTTCCATGCAATTCTGTATTGAGTTAAAAATATATCGTCACTATTAGTCAAAACGTTAATAAGAAAAGTCCATGTATTATCACAAAAGCTCATTCTGATTCTTGTTTTGAAAGATATTTGTTCAAATCTTCAATTTATATACATAAATTGATATTTGAAATTTATTTAATTAGTAAAGTTTCCAACGTTCTGTATGATTATCCATAAGTTCAACTTCATTTTACCCCAGTCCCACCTAATTTCGATCCTTTTTGACGAGAACTCATCCGTCGTCCGAGGTTGCACATGATGTCAGTCCTTTACATTATTATTATCTCTCTGTAACGGTAAATAATATCTGTCTGGATGATAAACAAGACGGATGCTATTCTAATTTCTATTGTGCAAGCGACGGTATATTAGAGATTTCGCTGGAATATTCATCAGCGGTTCGCGAATTCTCCAGAGTCACGTGTGTTGTATTACATCTATTTTGGAAAACACAGAACGAAATTCATATATCATTACTTTGTTTAAAATT